GTCTCATTTACATTCGGTATCGAATAACGCGATGCTCCTTGATTCAGATAAGTGAATGGAATGGAAGGAAATAATATTGATATTGCACACACCACTCTTGTTCAAAACAACGTGTAAATGCGATGACGACTGATGTTTCTACTAGCCATGCATGCACCAGGGCCTCCAATATTTCGGGTCACTCGAGCAGTGTCCAGACTCCACCAGGAGTGCTTTCATTGGAACTTTTTTGTAAATCACTTCAAACATTGCTGATTTTTATTGGACCACACTCCTGTGATTTGACGAGGTTGTGCTCCCGTGATTTCCACACTTAACACTCAACGCAAGTTCTTGCGGACACAACGAAGGAGAAGTAGTGATTAGAGCCACCCAACGAATGAGGTGGGGTTGCAGTCGATTGCCTGCACCACTTTGCAACCTCGCTAGTTAACAGACCGTGACAACCTGAGGACAGACGCAAAACAGGCGACAGCGGATACGACAGTTTATTATTATTGGGTCACCCAGGTGTCTTTTTATAGAAGTGCGTGAGTGAGCAGCGATTGTCAATTGCAATCAGTAATCAATTACACCCAATCAACTCGTAAATATATACTTCACTTACGCTCGTTCGCGGACAGGTCGCTACACGTTCATTTCAGTCGAATGACAGCTATTGTTAACTAGTTAAGTGGTATTAACAACACTCAGACTTACGATGGCGGTTAGGGAGGTTCTTTTTTATTTCACGTGGCCTTTACCCCGTGTTTGCATTTGTAGATTTGCGAGCTGATACACACCTTGTGGAAGCCATGTCTAGCCTTGCGCACGCACTAAAAAGGAAAACACGAAATGCGGAAACAAAACACCACCCACCACTCCTGTCGCCCAAAATCAAGTGCATACCGCGCTGGGGTGCACCACAGAGGCCTTCAGCATATCTGCACTACGTGCAGCCGTGATTAATGGAAGAGAGGCGCCCACGCGCTCTTTATCGAGTTTTTTTCTTCTCTTTTTGCCCCCACCAGTCTCCTCCACCCTCCCGACGTTGTAATTAGCCAGAGGGTGTGCTTGTGCGTGTGTGTGTGTGTGTGTGGAGGAATGATTTATCGAGGCCAGCGGAGAGCGAAGCCTCCCTCGCCATGCAGAGCCTTTCTTGCGTAAAACGCGTTTTTTGGCTATAGCAGAAAAAGTATCCTGCCACGATGTCTGCGTCCGTGCGCACAGCGTGTCTAAGCACTTGACGGCTGGAGGCGTTTGCAGATGTTTAGCAGTTGTTGGACTACATAAATTCAATTGTACTTGTTAAAATTACATGTCTCAAAATTCTGTAGTTTAGGCGACCCTTAGATTTATTTACATCAGGCTCTAAATGGACCAAAAGGTGCAAAAATGGCAAAAATGCATTGAACTAACCAAAGAGTACATTTTGAGAAAAACTGAATCCAGTTTTGTCAACGAGCACCTTTTACTGGCACCGGCTGTAGGAGGGCGGTACATAATGCAGGCTTGAGAAAAAAAATTGCTTATGGATCTAGAATTTCGTCTGGCTTTTGGTTCACAATTAGGCAATTAAGAGACTACTCACGAAATGTAAGTGACCGAACTTCAAATTGGGTGGTATACTGGCATAGTGAAACAGCCCACGGTGTCTTGGTAATGAGGCACACTGTTAACCCTGGATTGTACTCAAATCATGCAGGTGGGAAGATATCTCAATGTGTAGGTGTGCTCATGCTAGCTTGATGCAAATTTACTAGAGTGCAATTCGTCTGACGGTGACGCCCGGCATTGTTGCCACGAGCGTGCTTGCCCAAGTAACAATACAGATAATTTTGGATTTTGAAAACAGAACGAACGGTAGGTTTTGGCATTACTTAGTAAGTGAAAACTCCATAGTGATTCCTGCAAATTAGCACTAAATTGCTCCTCGGTTAAAATTTCCTGCCACCAGTTTTAATTATTTCCGTTATGTCTATAAGTCAGAAAAACTTGCAGATAATAGTTAATCGTTTCGGTTAGCGAGAGCTTCGCTCACTCACAGACTCGTGTCGCTGATCAAACGCCCAAATTGCTGACTACCGACATCACTATTCGATTTTTTGCTCCCTTGGGAAACGGACAAGCGCGGGGTTATTCGAGGGGGCTGTGTACAAGCACAAGCGGCCTCTCGTGATAGGAACAGTATCATTGTAGGAGCCGAAAGGGGAAAATGACGACGAGTTTAACTGGAGGCGGTAGGCGTTTAGGGGGCGAAGGCGGAGTCAATTCAGAAACAACTGGCTTCAGCGTGGCGTTTAGCAGGCGGACTAGGGAACACAAACACGTAGCCCGTTTTTTCTCACTTTCGTGAAGCTCACAGGCAAAACACGGAGCTCACCGACAACAGCACACTGCTTCTGCGTGCTTGCGCCCCTCTGTAGTTGGCTCTGTGTCTGACTTTTTAGCGGCGACGGCGGCGTGAATGGCGAAAGGGGATGGGGCCTTAGCCGTTAATAATTTACCCTCCTTTGATCCAGTCTCAAAAAGTGTCTGCCAGCCCTAGTCACCCAGACAGAATTATAAATGTAGGAACTGTAGATTAATGGGGAAGTAATTAAGTGCAACAATAGGGACTTTTCAACTAGAGCCAAGTGAAAAGCATAGTCCAGGAGAATTGTAAATTTGTTGAAAAGTCAGTCATAAAATTTAAATATATCAAAGATGAGCTGCCAGTTGTGAAGAAAGGCTGTCGGAACATTTGAAAGTGTAACGAAAAGCCAATGCGTCACGCGTGTATAAGTAAAGACACCGGAGAAAAGCAACAGCTGAAGTTGTAAAGACGCCTGTCAGAGCCATGTTTAATCATTTTTACCCAACAAATGCTGCATCTTGTTGCAGGATCCAAATATAACTGCTGCAAATAGTGGCAATTCAGCGTCCATTTCGTTTGCCTGCCTGCAACATTTTAGCGAGGGAGTTTAATTTTCGTTCTTCTTCCCTACTTTGGCTTTGTTTGGATGAATTAAACCGTCTAGTTCTTAAATAAAAATGTGGGGTAAACTTCCTGTGGTTTAAGTAAAAAGAATTTTGTTGAATTCGCTAGGTTCGCACGGTGATTACATATTCGAGATGTGGCCGTTTAGCAGGGCTCCCACCACATGCTCTGAGGTGATAGGTTAGTACGCATTCAGCCCAACTTTCATCAATGCGCTGCAGCACCAGTTACCTGAAAGAAAACCCGACCAAGACACTGGATAAGTCAAAGTAAATGGTAAATCGAATCAGAAGGGTCAAATTTTTTTAATTATTCTTAGTTGAAGAGTTAGATTAAGTCTACACACAAAAGACTCGTTACTCTGTTTATTTCTTGAAAAATATGAGTATGTACGGACTATAACCTCGTTTAAGGTACCAAATTTCGAACCAAAGGACCTAGTATATCAATCACTTCGTCCAAAAATATTTAAAAGAAATAGAACTCTGACAAGGTGCAAACTAATTCAAACTCAATTTATCTTATTAACATTCATTTAGAAGCTAGTAAGGGCGTTGACAGAATATAGGTAAGTTCGCTTCATATTTTGGGGTAGTAGATGGTTGGGCTCCTGGTCATTGAGTGCCTGTGAAGACAATTTAGTTGAAATGGCTGGTTTTGGTTTAGGCTTGTCTAGAAAATTTGTTTAATTCACGTTTGATGATGCGTTCAATTTTTATGTGAACAAAATAAGGCACACTGGGCATAAGGAATCTGCGAACATAAGAGTAATAATAAATGGGGTTTCGATGGAATTGAGTAAAATAAGCCAGCTTGGAGTATCGTAGAGGCTTCCGGTAATAACCGCATGCTGGGCCTAGGTACCAAGATCCACGAATACACGCACACACACATTCTATTCCTTTTTTAAGGCTATGGCATTCGACAGTGCTAGATTATCGATTTTTGCCTGGAGTTCAAGTGCTCTTCGAAAATTTGTGAAGCCAAAGAATAATCACCTCTTCAGACATCAACACCGAAACTATTCAGAGAATCACACCATACTAACTCCTCGATATACTACTCTTTTGATCAGTAGTGTGTTTTCATTCGCATTCCACATTCGATTCATTTATTTAACTTCCTCTGTAACTGCTTAGTCACCGTAGGCAATCAATCTATGTAGCTTTTCACCTTCAATATGCTTCAATTTATATTAATCCAAATACAACTTCGGACACTTCAACCTGGCTAAGTTCCTTGTCCACAAGGTCATAGCTCATTCGATACGCACTTGTATTTTGTATCTTCTGAAATATATACCTCATCTGGCGTTTTTGGCAAGCTGAATTTCCTTTCAATCTGCATTCTCTGCCGAGTTAACTTAATATCTCGGCATTATGACTTCCTGTTAGACTATACACGACTATGATCCATTTAGTCATTTCTACTGGTTTCCAACGTGGAGAGTTTTCGAGTGTTTATTCCTTAGGCATCACATCTGTCCAAGCTTCTCAATCGCTCCACCTTGTCATGGCCTACAGTTCAATACATTCATCTGTATGCTCCACTACTTTCGTGAATGCTCGTTTAATCAGTTCAATTCCCTGGAAATATTTGTTCGAACACGAAATTTTCCATGGTAGAGACTTAGTTTTAGGATCTGTCACTGCTTTGTTTGGGCTGACCCTATTCGAGCAGTCGCGATCACCAGTGCAGCGTTCAGGCCACATGGATGTTACAAAGCATGGATTTGATCTAGATGAAGCGCCTATTCTCCAAATCATGTTAAAGGACATAAAAAGATTCAGCTTTATTGAAATTGTGGATTCACGTAGCCCTATATCCAAATTAACCTCGACAAAAGCCCATCACCAAACGCATGCACCTCAAAACTGAGACTGGCGTAACAGACGTGACGTGATACCAAAAAACACGCACTGGTATGGCTAAGCTTGAACTCTACAGACCAAGGGTAAAAAATTCACCAACATGGAAATATTGCGAAGACAGAATGTACAAAATTCAAGAGAGCTGAAGTGGCAAAAACAGCCACTGGGCAATGCATCGTCCGAGACAGTGGGGGAAACGCTCCCAGGCGGAACGCTATTTGTCATGGTCTCCCTTTGCCGCTTGTCAGCGGAAGAAGAAGGGGAAGGAGGAGGATGTCGTACGACCACAAAAAGACAGCACGCACTCCACGAGCTTGGGGGGAGCGGTCCATGCTTGGAGCTGTTTGCAGGGCACTTGATAAATGCGCCTACGATACGTTCTAGATAAGAGTGATGCGCGCGGCAATCGAATAGCCCTAGTTAATCCGTTCTCGTCTGCCCTTTCCTTTTTCTCCTGCCTTCATCATCCTTAAGATGCAGTTTTCGAAGCTTGGACTTGGCGCCCTTCCCACCTGGGTCTCATTTTGCGGGAGGCGAGTATAGGAGAGAGACACGCCATCCGTACGTTGGAAGCAGCGGGGTGAAACGTCCATCCACGTAGAGGGGCGCGGATAGGCGCTTATCAACTGCAATACCTGTAGTAAGATGAGGCACGGCTTTCACCCCAGTCACACAGCTGAACTCGCCGAGAGGTCGCTTAGATCAAAAGTGGGCTAAATAAAAGCATTTTGTCCCTATGTCTGCACACTAGGTCCTCACAACAATTAGTTATCCAGTCAAAATTATGCGATTCGTGTACTACAAAGCACTTTGATCTAAAATATTTTGCTCGGTAGCTCGTGATCTGTGGCATAGATTTCTCCAAGCAAAAACTCGAAGAGGCACGCAAGTTGTTCTTGACTCCCTACACATTTCCTCAGACAAGCGAGTCAATATCCCTTGGATTCCGTCGGTTGAACTGTCAGCACACCACTTTTCCAGCGTTAAGACGTTGTGCCACTTTTTTGCAAAAAACTTAAGTGACTCACAACAGAGAGTTTTGACTATTGGTGCCTGGGAAATAATGCTGCGGTCCCAATTTCTGTAACTGCCTCAAAATAACCCCAGATGAGTTCAGAATTGAGTTTTATTGACGTAAACTATATCAGTAAGTGGCCGTTTGGCATCTGCGGGTACTAGTTGTTATCAGTGTGTGACAATTTTTTAGGTGTTCTTCAAATGTCAGCCACAAGAGAGCAAGCGGAACAGCAATTACATAAAAACGGTCAATATATGAGTCCTGCAATCAGACTATCGTGACAATGCGGACATCCTGCATGCGGCCACGCCGTTAAAAGTTCGCCATCCAACAGATGGCTAATAAACGCGTGCCAATTTAAACAGCTGACTTACACAGCTGTGCAACAATAAATTTATTGTCTTTTGCGTCACAAAACACATAATTTCTAGTTTCTGGCGTCTTGTTCCATCCTACAACTGCCTCATCGCAGTTTCCTTACCTACGCTCGAATTCCCACAGCAGACACACTTGGCTGTGTCTGTGATATGAAAATGGTCAAACTTCCGCATTCACGTTTAAAAATGAATTAAAATAAAGCACTTCAGGTGTCTGATAATACGAGGCTGGCAAATGTGCAAATTTTGCAAGATAAGAGCATATTTCTGACGCCCACATGCCTGAATGCTAAGGAAGGATAAAAGCATGTGGCAAGAGCTCAGAACCCAGCGAATGGAAGCCCTGCTCTGTGACCACATGCTTTAAAACTGCCTACATTGAATTAAGGTGGCATACCATTTGCCGTTAAAGTTTTCTGTCTGGCTGAAAACGTCGTCTCTGCCTGAGCTACCCAGCAATTCCGGCACTCATCGGCAATTCCTCACCCCCTCCCTTACACCTCCGCCGCAGAGGATTTATTTGCAGTAGCGGGTAGGGATAAAAGGGAGCGTGAGTGGGAACAGAAGACCAGCTGACTCAATGCCGACAGGCTCCTGTTTGTGGGCGCAACGAAGGGAAAATTTATGTCGGAGAGGGAAGTGTTTCTGTCAGGAGATTCCAAAAAAGGAGCAGACAAAATTTACCTGGAATCGTATAATTTGGAAAGTATTGACCAGACAAGGACAATCTCTGTCAGCGAACTATTGGTTCCTGCGAACATTCATGAGTTACTTTTGTGATTACGAAAAGAGCAGTCAGTGTGCTTTGCTTATTGCGCCGCTTGGATCGGAAGCTCAAAGCACACGAAGCCCGTTAGAGAATCCAATTACTGGTTGGGGAGCAGTGTGATTCCTCAGCGTTTGACTCAACAAACCCTTCATGGCTCAATCTAGACAGGATTCAACTGATTCCAGTGGAAACGGAGATGGCGTTCGTTGTCGTCCGAAAGAACCGCAGATGCTGGTATGCGTGTTTGACAAGAAGTGAACAAATTAATCGTATCACAATACAAATTATTCTTTGATAATGAATCGCTTGATAACTGACCGATGTTTACTGATACCAAAGGCAGGATGAAAATAAAAGTGACAAAGGTCATTTTTTAATTTTTTTCACATTTGGTGCATTCTTAATCAAATGCGATAATGCAACATGTAATCAGCCTAGTGACAGACTAATGCCTTAAACGAATCACTAATGATTAAAAAACACTATCATTTAAATGGCAGTACCTCGTCGCCTCCTTTGCTGAAGTTCCTTTTGTGCAACATGAGCCAAAGTTCGCGGATAAATATGGGATTATGAACATAAAAAGAGGAATTGTAAAAGTGCTAATTGCATATCAAACACGAGAAGCCGCCTTCGTGTTAAGGTAAGCGTTTTTCTTCTGTACGAAATTCAGACTACGCACAGCTTAAAATTCTTGTCAATTTGACTTTAAATGATTCATTTCGGACGGTGCTACCCAACAAATTTATTCCCAACACAACTCTTTGGTGGTAGACTGTCGGGTGCGCGGTAGTGACGAGGTTCGATAACCGAGTTTATTGATAAATAATGACTTTTAGGTTGTGCTAGGACCTTTAGTCAAAAATGTTTACTCAATATGGAGAGGTTTTCTCAGTTAAATCGTTTGGCTGCTAAAACGTTCATTTCTTTCGTTTTGACGTGTCTTCAATATGCAAATGCTGTCTTGTTGACAAAGCCTGTTACATTGTGGGTCTTTACACACTCTTACGAGGCTAATGAAATGCTCGCGTTTCCCAGGTTAACAGAAACCTTCACACGAAAAGCCTGATTACCCTCGAGAGCGCATCGCCATGCTCTTCTACTTAATTGCCTGTGACAAAGTTCAAGACATTTAACCCACTTTGACAGTCGTCCGCAGCAACAAAACATCTTGATTTTGACATTACCAGAAAACGATATTTTATCAGGTGCTGACTTCTCTTGAATGAAAAATCGAGGGCAATTTAGGCTCATAAAGGAAGCACTGTCAGAAACTAACATCCATTCAATTCCATTGCAGTCAATTTCTAAATTTCGATCATGGGCTAGGCGATCAATTAGGTTTAGTTGAAGATTGATTTTCGTGACACTTTCTTCAGTACTGTAGGCTTTTAATGATCAGGAGAAGGAAGAATAAAGCAAATCAGTGTTAGTTTAAATCAAATCCAATGTATTACTTTTATATTTACTTGCAATTTTCAAAAAAAAGTTATTCGAAAAAGCAAAACAACAGAATTTTTCCTCCTTTTGTAATTTCCGAAAATTAATGTCCTACAAATTGTGAGGACGCAAATCTTACAAATGCATTCACAGCTACCACCTAGCATTATCTACTGTCTTCAGACATTGGTATGGCGAATTTCCCATGACCTTGGCCTTTTAGCCCTAACCAACAGTTTGCCGAAATCATAGAATGAGATTTTGACCCATTTTCCATTGTCTTCTGGTTTGTCAGATGAATTAGAATTCGGACCAGCAACACAGTCACGACAGAACCATTTTTCTGGGGCCAAATTAAAATTAAATCAAAATTTTTAAAAAACCGATTTCAAGTAAACGGTAACACACCACAGCTAGACAATTTCTTATTTCGATAAGAACTTTTTGGGATCGTTTGAAAGAAGTTTTGAAGACCCGAATTATACGCATTTAGGGATGTTTTTGGGTTGGTGTCAGATACTTTTGCTGTATTATCTGTACCAATATTTACACAAAGATAAAAATGAAAACAAATAAACATATATTCGGATTTGCTAATTTTTTGGTAGAAAGATCTCAAATAATAAGAGAGTTGAAAAATAAGTTTTTTGCGTGTCCATTAATTTTGGCATAATTACTTGTTGCTAAACTCGAATACTGCACAGATATAATCCAGTTTTATTAAGTGGATTATGTACCTTAAACAAGGATTCGACAACTCGGTGTATTGTTGGACTAAATGCTACCTTGTAGTACTTTGAAGTGATTTTGGCTAGTTAGTACGTCAACTCCACCTATTTAATTTTCCCGGCTGTTGTTGCGAAAATTTACTAATACAGGAAGGAGAAATATTGACTAACAGAAGCAAAAGCGCAATCGTTTCGCATTCATTAATTTAACGAGTTTTCTATAGGTTGCACCATTTTTGGTCGTTAACCACAGGAAACCATCTTGCCAGTATGGTAGTTGTCCTAATAACTGTAAGGATATAATGCTTAAAGACCCTTCACTGCCAAATTCGAAAATATTAGAGGCAAAATAGTCCTTCAAAAAGCTGAAAAATCTTTTTTATTGTCATAACGTGAATATGGCACTTTTTGTTTGAAAACTTCACAATAATATTTTTAATACAGAAATAATGAAGCTCACAAACGACCTCGCATAAGCAAATGAGTAAACCGGGAATGTACCATAGTCAGTTCAACTTGTATACGCATACTAGCAACCATGTCACTGCATATATTGATGGGCAATAGACATTAAACAGGGAATAACAAGAAAAGCCCAGGATTAGCTAATGCTTTTGAGCAGCAGAATGTTTTAGACCAATCTCTTTAAGGAGGAAAAGTTGGTGAAGGCAGCTTCGAAAGGGAAATCCTTGGCCTGAAAGAAGCATGAGAAGATAAATAATTTGCAGCTTCTCCCAAGGGAGATCAAGCCCATGTCTCATTCGCCATCCCCGAGCAGGGCTAAAGCCTGGTAATGGAACGGGGCTTGCGCGTGACAAACCCGTTTTTTTAGTAGAGTAGTCTTGCTCCGATAATTACTCTGACGACCTTGACGTCTATCGACAGAGGCAAACACCAAAGCTTATGTTTTGCTTCTGACTTAGGCAGTGATTAAATCTCGCTAGTACTGACTTCCATGACCTTGTTAAATTTAAAAAAAACCAAAATAAGGACCGATGAAGTCAACAAATTTTAGTTTGCATGGCGTCAGGCCCAATAAATGGCATTTAACCTAGAAATTAAAATATGTCGTTGGAGCACACGTACTAAATCGCTTACAACTTTTCAAATTTGACTCAAGATATCCCAACATTCAATCACATTCTGATCTCACGCATACTGACTCACTTCAAACTCTTTCCATCTTCGCATCCACCTCCACACTGCATAACAACTCAACCACATCAGCATCGCTAACATTTCGTTGCGACTCAGTTCCACCGAAGCAAACATGTCCATAATCTGATTATTGGCGTTGGGCAGGTCGGTGCTGAGGTTCACGAGAGCCAATCAAAGCGATATCCAGCCACAACATATGATGATGATGATGACATCCGACAGCGAGTGCGTTGTCCCGTGAATGGCGGTCGTCGGATTATGGTTAACGCCATTGCCAGGGCTGTCGGCACATGTCATTAAGTGAAAAAACTTGCCTTCGTGTAAGATCACAAAGAGACATTGCACATCTGTCAACTTCTTCTGACTGCCCACTTTACTCCAGCCACGTTCGTTAACATCAAAACCACTCTAGTGTTGAAAATGGATATGTCAAATTGAAATTACGTTTATAGTCTTCAATCGGGCAATAGAACCTATTTAAACACTTAAAGAAATTCAATGGCTTGCATATTCAAGTAGACAAAGACAGCATTGGGGTCACGACTAGATGATTTATACGACTTAAATTATCCACAAGATACCTGTTCTGTCAGCTCTCTTTGCCTATTTGTTAAAGCACCATAAAAGATAGTAAGCAGGATCTGTGAAACTAGTCATTTACTTAGACTACAAGGTTACACGAGCATGGGGTAATATTTATGGTAAAATTAGCGATACATAGAGAACTGTCCTTCTCTGACTTTGCATCAAACTTCTTCAATGCACCGGCAAATTGTGGGAAAAGAGCAATTGAGGGTCACCCTAGTGGGGTACTGTGTGTCGCTGTCACAGAACTAATCACACATGACTGGGACATTGACAAGGGTTCTTTTGGCAAACCCTTCTTAGTAATAGTAGCACCACGCTAAACCATCTCCTACTCTCATGAAGTTTGACGCAGTCCTGTTGTGTCCTCTTGTTATCAACGATGTTTCTTCTGAGACGTAAGACAGCCATGCGTTTTAGATCTTTCCGCTATACTGGAGATGAGACCTTATCACTTTCTTCAATTATTTGCTTGTTCTGGAGCTCCGTTTCGAGGGTGTCCACCTGAAATGAAAAGGAACCAACAGATGCAAACTTTCTTCCTTAAACATCCCCAGATTTTTATTCTTTTTCCTTTGATTTCATGTCCTGCTAAAACAGAGATCCAAGTCCAGTTAATTACTAAATTACAGGAAAGTTATTCGACTAATTTTGCCAGATTTAGGAAAATCGTATTTAAAATTTGCGTAGCATTAATGAAACTGCCTATTATTTTTATTTATACCACATCAATTACTATACGCAATTAAACAGAACTATCTTTTCGGCTTCAGAGCACCAGGATAGAGGTCTAGTGCCGTGACTAGGACTATTTCATGGTAGTTAATCTGCGTTTGGGATTAACTATTCATTTTTCAACAAAACCTACCTAACTGACTGGCCGCAGTAATTAGAAATATAATGCCAACTGTTTCAATAAAATGCATTTTTATTTGACAAGGTAAAGAGGATTAATTGTAAAAGTTTATTTAATAAAAGGACAAAGAATTACTTTGATGCAGCCAACAATTCATTACGACACATTTAATGAGAAAAACGCACAGAAACTCGGAATATTTGGTCAATGTTAAGGTCGTCATATATGCGCCTCCTCATGATGCTTTTATGAAACTATTCTGAAAAAGCAATGAAATCTGATGTGCCGAGTCTACGCGAAATGGGTTAGCGATGCTGCGGCAGACATCGGCTATGTGGACGCGTTTCACTGAAAAACCTCCACATCGTTGCGCATGAGTGTTAAGCATTCCTCCTCGGATGGGCACGACTGTTTCTTTGCAATCACTCTCTCTGTTAAACTTGGACTTTCCGAATGGTCCCTTTCCCTTAAGTGTCGAAAAAATGAATGTCTCCCAGGTTTTCACTGTGGCTAATACCAAAGGTTAGCAAATTGGTTGCTTCCCATATCCTCGTGATAAAGTTATTAAACCATTAATCCTATCTTACCACTTTAAATATTCGCCTAAATTTTGGTAAACTACAAAAATTTCAGGTTGATTCGTATCAGCATAGGCTAGTCGACATAAATTACTAGCATATCAAACCGCCTCAAATTTGCTTCTATTAAGGTCTCCTGTTGGGGGCTGAAAGCATCCGAAAGTTGAAAGAAATTTTCCCAAACCATCCTGTCCCAGGTTTGGCTCAAACACTTTAAGAAACTATGTAATTTAACACGGACGTCAGCTTCATTCTTCTAGAACCATGGCTGCTAGTTTCGCTATAAGGAATAGCTCCATTTGTCAACCATAGCCCATTATGAAAGGGTACATTAAAATAGCGATTTCCACTAAAGTCACGTAGGAGACACACTTTCTCTGAGAATACTCAAACCAAGCCAAAAATCTTAGGGCAATGTACTGTACCACCAATCTAGATAGTACGATGACACTCCTCTCCACAGCACAACGAAGCCTTCCACCTACAGGGCGCGTTTTTGCCGACTTCCAAAGTCGCGCCTCTCCTGCGCTCACTGACTCTCCTCTCCTCCACCTCCTCCTCTTCCCAAGTGCGTAAATAAACACTGCAGCAGCGTCTTTGTTTTTAAAGCATTAAAGCGTCGGCATCGGCACCCAAGTGTGCCTCACCTCCTCCCTCGAACGGACGCACTCGCTTGTGAATTTTTTCATTGAAAGATTAATGGAGCGGACGGTGTTTTTGCCGCCTACAAGGAAGAATAGTGGCTATGATGGCGGTGGTGGCGGTGGCAGTAATGGGGAAGGTGCATGAAAGCGATCTCGTTTATGGAAATCGAAATATGAAATAAGTTCAATCGCGTCTGCCTAGCCTGTCGGAACAAGGTGTTTTGTATCCGATCCATTGTGCTGAAGTTTGTCTGGCAGCAATTTGCCAGTGGTGCAATGATTTGCTGTCCAGAAGTTTCCAGGCGTGGGGAGTTAAATGAAGTACTGCACATATATGTTTGGTAAAATAATCTATGAGAACCGCTAATCTTACCAAACTATGAACTAGTTGGAGGCAGGATCTTGTATCAATTCCACTTCTAGATATTTCAAACAGATTTGTCTAATGAAGCCCATAAACGAAGTCATAGGGTTTATCGAGGCCTTTGCACAAGGCTGCGTCTTGAGAAGGACACGGTTCGGCATAAAGAATTAAAGCGTCTTGATTTAGACGTCTCCCTCCACCTGATGTGCTAAATTTTTGTGAGCGTGATTGAAGTATCATATTTATAAAGGACGCAACCAGCACCAACAACTGCCATTCTCATCGACACCTCCTTCACTTTCTCCGTGGTGCTGATGAACCGAGAGCGGATCCACCTTCTGGGTACTGACGTCAGCCTCATGGTAGAAGTCCTTAGGAGATCTGGATAACATTTAAAGCTAACATCTGTCGACTCCGTCTGATTACTCACTTTCTCCAGCCACTTCCATTGACATCGATTCCGTTCACGCAAGTTGTTGAACGCATTGTAACACACGAAGAATGCTGAATGCATCAGTATGAGGACGATGCAACATTCAGTTCAAAAATGGCCACTGACCGAATCGAGGGGAACAATGTAAGTGAAAACAGAAGGGTCAGTTAGGATAGTTGACGGCTGGGGTCTTCAGACATACAGGTGGAATCCGTCTCATTGACTTTATCTTAGAACGAAGACAAATAATCACAGGAAATGAAGACGACGAAGGCTTCCCTTGAATGGTCTTAGCAGATGCTGCTATGAAGACACAGAGAGGTTATCTGCACTGCGGTGTCATGTTCCATCATGGTGTTGCGTGACTTTGTTCTGTGATACCACTTAAGTGTGTTTGTGGTGCAGTGTTGTTGCGGAGGCACCAATAGTTTAATCCCTTTGCATTTGCAAATAAAATGGGTTCGAGGCAACTTATTTTGCCTCAAATAACTACTGTTCACCGTTTAAACAACCAACCCCTTTTATTAAACTCGAGATTTTGAAGTTCCGAGCTAAACGTCCGCCCTCCTAATGGGTTAGCCAGCAAGGCCAACAATATTTGTTTCAACTTCATACAAAATCTTAGCTTTGGGTGTGAACGATGAGCGAAACCCCATCATGTGTCATTCCAAAATTGCTCTGCCCACTGATTTTTTTGCCCTCAATTGGTAGTCATGGTTTGAAAGTGCATTTGCTTATCTATGCTGAAATTACCTATTTACTTATTGCTACATGTTGCTTAATCATCGAAATTTACATGCTATCTATAGCATGATTTCACGAATTATTTCCAAGTAATCGTTGGTGTGGAGGGCTCAGCAACTCCTATGCAGTTAGGTGGTGAACAGTTTATCAGCGAGAAATAGCCTGTGTGAACATAGTTTGGTTTTATTTTGACCTACGATGGGAAAAATTTACCTTTGCACAGAGTATTATGTCTAATTATCTTCTCTAAATGGAATAAAAGCATACTGATAACATCGCAAGCATGTGTGGCATAAAAGGCACTAATCTGACCTGGTTACTCGTTTCATGGAATCAAAAATCCCCGATGAAAATCGAGAGTGATTCGTAGCTGGACTTGCGAATAACATGAGGCGTCTATTTTTATTGCTTTGTGTATATTCAGGATAACAAATGTGATAAAACCAGAGAGGTTGCATATTGTTTGATTAAAAAACCCTTAGTGGTTTTTGCCCTACATTTTCGAGGCAGACATAAATTGACTATGCGATAACCAACATTTTACCCTACTTATACGCGATCACATTATTCTCCGATTATATACATTGTGCATTTTATTAGTGCTTAAATGTTCTGAAAAAAGAGGTTCGTAGGAATTTTGCCACTTTTAAATCCGTTTTTATTAGCACTTGCAATCAGAACTGCATTTCGTCATTTTTATGGTCGACTGGATATGATTGATTGTTTGTTTAGGCTTGTTACCTTAGGGTAAAACAGGCAGCTCAAAATATCAAAATGTGATATTCGGATGAATTGGACTTAGTTGAACTGTTCCTTTTTCCAAATACCTATAATAAATTTCATGGTCATGTTGCAAACACATTGTTAGAATCCAGTGCTTTTCTTGAATAAAAGCAAGCATGGAAAACACCTGCGAAGGAACACCCTGAAGTAAGCTTTTCAACTAGAGTGGAATACTTCAATTATTGCTTGTTTTGTGGATTGTTACCGTTCAAAGATATCAGCAAACTTATATTTGGACTAATTTAAACTTTTGAGATGCTTTTCAAATTTATCATACAAAATGTTTTTGCAGTTCTACACTTTCTTTTGCCCTAATATTTGCATATTTCGTGAGTGAAATGCCCTAAGAAAAAAGATAGCCCAACGACAAGTAATGCCACCCGGCTGCGGAATTAGTCGAGATTCCAATCTTACAAATTACTTCGATTTCACTCATTATAATTCCCTTTCGGTGCATCGTAATGCCTTTGATTCATTCAACCAGAATAAAGCGTTTTTTAAAGTTTGATTCTCTTATTGACTGTAAAATTACGATTCAAGTCAAACGACTTTTGTATCTTCATTGAATCGCGAGTGAATAAAAGCGTAGACTAAGCTAATGAAATCAAAGAAGCAGAAATGATAAAAAATTTCCTTAAACCGCGGCTTAAAAACAGGAGAGTTTTTTACGGTGCTTTGAGGAAGCAGTAATCTTTTTCGTGAGCAAAGCATGTAGACCATAAGATACTTTAGATCCCTCACATCGCCGTAACAGAAGATGATCAGACCTTCAAGTAGTCGAGGAGTATGCGGGTCAGCAACCGAGGATTCACGTTTCATCTGGTGGGACATAAACATCAAAGTCAAGTGAACGCAAACCAACTCACCCTCCTATTTGTAGAAAGCAAATCACCACAAATGTTTCGCAGATATATTTCAGTATAGCAACAAATTGCTTGCCATTTACACCTTCAGTTGGGGATCGGTCCACGAGATTCACTGGATGAAGTGATTCAGCCTTGGCAATGGATTCTACTCTTTCGCTTCGGTGCTTCCAATTGCTTTTTCTTGTAACGTTCTTTTGTGCAAGCCGCTTTACGCCTTCACTTATAACTTGAGCTAAGAAAGGTCCGTTTTGTTGGCTGGAGAGGCGGAAGCATCTGTGGAAACACGGTCAACTCTGTTCCGTTATGCCAAAAAGTGCGGTACATACAATTTCGTGTTTCCAAGTGTACCCAAGTTATTTTAAGTGGTGACTTGCAGTCGATTTGTCAGAATTTAATTTTTCATCAATTGCCTTAGTGCTATTTCGTGGAATAATATTCACTTATTTGTAAATAAAGTAGCTGTTAATGCCAGAATATCGCCCACAGCGAATTGCGTCATCAAAAGTTAAGTCAATTAAACTACCGCCAACTGTCTGAAGACCAGGAGTCCGATCCAAATCAGTCTTGAATTTTTTTGTTGTTCAAACGAAATGAGTTATTATCTTCCTCGCTAATTCCTTTTCTCCTTTACCAAAAATCTCATTTATGAAAGGAAAAAAAGGGAATTGCTCTTGACGATGCTACTAAATGCATTGAGTGTATGTACATGATTTTAGCTGCGTATTTGCAGACGTAAACCTCCCAGGCACTTACAATGTAGCTTGGAAAGCACTCAAAGCACGGAACTGAGTTAGATTAAACTAAAGAAATTAGAGTAATCAGATCCATTCAGTTCCAAAGTGTAGGAAATAAGCGAAATACTGAGTACCAGTCCGGTGTTTGCATTGTGGAAGCAATATTTGGCTGAAATGTTAACAGATTGACTAATAGTAAGAGATATGGTAGTGTCCTCCAATACAGAATTTTAGACTTTGTATTAATAATGATCAAATGTTCTCGGGAAGAATTTGGTAAAATCTGGGAGCAGAAGATCCCGTAACATGCAATTTTGAAGTCGTCTAGACGTTACACTTAATTAATTTTGCTTAATTGGAGGTGGTCGGAGCTAAATAAGATTTCAATAAATCAACGGAAACTAATGAACTAGTTCCCAACATCCCTTAGAAAATTTAAATAAGCTGAATAATTATTTCATACTATATGTAGAACTTGTCTTTTACATCAAAATTGTTCTCACATAATTTTTAAATATATTTAAATTAGCTTCAGTGCACATGGGAACAGCTCCATTTAAAATGCGTCAACTAGTAAATTTGTCGATGTTAATTGTACGCTTGAAGACAATTTGGATGCTACTTAATAGAGAACAAAGCAAATTCCCTTTCTATGAGCTCATTTTCATGCCTTCCAAAATTAAAATGACAATGGAAACCCTCCCGGTAAAAGTCATGGGTCGAAGGGATTCTTCAATCAGTATTTTAACTTCATATGCGTCTTCTTGATAAAAACGTTGCATTCTTTTATTCAAAAGAATTTAAGTAACCCAACTTGAACTTCATTTCTTTGAATGACAAAGTTATCCCCCGATTTAAACAAAGATACCCCCCACTTCTCAGTTTTCATCAAGCCAATTTGCTAATAGCCATTTAAATTGGGGGGATTAAGATGTCAATATACGTTCTATCGGAGCACAGAAATGCACTCAAGCAGGGGAACTGTCATTTAAATGTTTACTTGCTGTCAGATGGATACACAGTAGTAAAAAAACTAATGTGTTTAGTGGGGGACCTCGAACAACCCGTCATAACAACGTTACTGTCCATTAGCCGACGACAGTCCACCAGTATTGAGGAGAGCCCTTTCTAAGATGAATTAAGTCTAAAAGCGTTTGCCAACTGGAATGTGCTGGCATGCTCACTGATTATGGTTTACCTAAATTACTGAGTCAGTGATGA